TGGATAAACAGACCGCTAACATCAAGCGGCGGTTGCTTATACTCACTTACCAGGCGTGCGTGCGGCAGAGCGAGGCGGATATCAAGGAGTTCTTCATAATGGCTATGAAAAGGTTGGGATTTTTTATTTGCCTTTAAAGCAGATGATGATATAATAAACGTAGTTGAAATGTAGTATGTAGAATTTATATGCAGCGCTCGCAGATTGCGTCTATAGGTGGACAAAATGAACCAGACATCGAATAGTATCCCAGATATGGAATATTGGAAGTCTTTCCTTTCAATATTTCATAAGCGAATTTACTGGACTTGTTGGAAACTGTTTCCCTGTTACTAGTAAGTTTCCTCTATAATCAGTTGATTAGGATATGTGAATAGAAACTGTTATAAGTACAAGGCTGTTATAAGTAAGTTGAGATACATCGTGTACTATTGATAACGTGTGATGTGAAGAAAGCTATCATAGTACTCATGAGCACATCTGACATGGACAAGCAAAATACCAATATAAGAAGTAGCTAGTCATTCGTGACCGTGTTTTTTCATTAATTATCAAAATGAAAAATTTTGTTATTCTTAAAATTTTTATTTAAATTCCATTTTATGCCAATTTTTATATTAGAGGTCATACTTACACACGCGTTTAAAATTTTCGCTCTTTTCTTGTGAAAGCTTAACTTTTTAGACACGGGTTTCCGGGATTTTAGACTTTTGATTAATGCTAACACTTCGATTATTCTTGTTTACTCTGCTAATAATATTTTAATTGATACTATTTTGAGTTTTATTTAAATTATTCTTCGTATAGCTCATATTTATACAGTATGCAAATACATAAATAGATTTTATTCCAGATGTTTGTTGTCCTACATTTTGGAGGACCCAGCTGAGCGTGCCCGGCTCCACATCGCGTTTTTACCACCTCTTTGGCCGGCACTAGTGGTCCGGGCACCTGTTCCATGGCACACTAGCTTCGTGCGTTGTCGTCAAGCCATGTCCTACCGCTTCTATCATGGTAATCCCGTTCTGCTGGAACTCCGGAGACTCTGGCAAGAAAGGTAGTCGGATAGTTTTTCATTTTAGTGAACATATAGCACAGAGGAGCGCGATAGCGCAGGAGAAAGGAGGAAGTTAAGAACTTGCCCGGTTACAGGAGGGATGAGCGAAAATTTAAGCTCTCAAGCTGCTTGGTGCTTCGGATGGCACTTTAAGCCGTTGGTTCCGGCTGCATTTCTGGTTAACACCCACCAATTCGCACTGGTCTCGCGTGCTGGGTAAGGGCCATTTTCCCTATTTGTTTCGATTCGATTGCATCCACAGGGAAGGCCTGTGTCTCAGCAATGGGGACATTAATAGGTCGGTGAAAATAATAACAGCGCATGTTAAATCTACAGTGACCTATATAAAAACAAGCCGAAAGAAATATTTTTACAAATATTAAACTTTCGATAAAGATGAAAGTATTCATAATGAAAAATGCCTAAAAAATCCACTTTGTCCCTGGCATTCTGAGATGGGTCTCGAATCCATGACCTGGGTGACTGCTGTAAACACTGAGCTACCCATAAGAAGCAGTTCAATAATAAACATCAGTGTCGTATTTAAACAGATACCAAAATGTGTTAATATGCGATATGAACAAGATGCAAGAAGATATTCAATTTCCACAATACATCCCTGAATTCACGGAACGGCTGACCAAGCTGTGTGCGGAGATGCGCAGTGAGCTGGCAGACAACTGGTTGATCGACGTCGCCGATACCATGATAAAGATGCGCCACCATTGGTCTGTGTACGTGGCCAAGAAAAAGAAGGAATCCACTTTTCAAGTCGAACAATTCTTTCGGTACCTAATATTCATCTTTGTCTTAGATTCCAGAAATTGAATACTTTTGATTATCTCTTATTGTGATTTGAGAACTAAAAAATTAGGATTTTGTCATGAAAAAGGCTATTTAACTAGATCATGTCTATTTTCAAAGTTAGCTTGGATTTACTTCTTTAAAAAAAGTAGTTAAAGGTTCTTACACACTACCAAAATTGTCAAAAATTTAAACTATATGGGTTGATACGGGGAATGTCCATTTGTGATGAAAAATATGACCACGTTTACTGGCGAAAACCAGTCAATATATATTTTTTGTATAATAATTATGGCAGTTAAATCGTGTGAAAACTAAAAAATAAATACATTCGGTTTTTACATTGACAACTATTCTTTTGTAAGACGTAATGATGTAAAATATTTTATAAATTTTCACAAGTTATATAGGTATACAGATCAATAGACAAAAAAAAACAATGAAAATAGTGGTTCGCGCGCTGATTTCAAGGTCCCGGGTTCGATTCCCGGTCGGGTCAATGTAGAAAATAAACTCTCGGGTCTGGGTGTTGTGGTACCTTCGTTGTCTCAGATACTCCATAATACGGAGGCTTTAGCTACTCATCTTGGAATCTGAGCAATGTATGTGATGTTGTTTATTATTATTATTATTTTTTTTATTTTGACAAATTTTTTTATACGTCAAAAGGTCGATATTCTCTAATGGTTTATGTATTTCTTGTCACAGGAGTATACATTCGCTGATGTCAAGGCAACTGCGTGATCTCGTCGAGAGAAGTGTTTACCATTTCGCCGAATACTTCAAATACTATTGGGTTACCATCTTTTAAACATAAATTTTGTATCGTACCTAACTTTTTTATAATCAATAGATAGTAAAATATATTATGCTATCTATTTTTATAAGGAATCTCTAGTTTCAATTATTCATCTGTTTCAATATTTGAATCTGGTACATACTGATTAAAAACGAATTTTATTACAACAACTATTATAGTATATTAGGCACGCTGTATACGCTAATATATTTATATAGGTATAAATTCTCATGATGTGAACTTTAATGTCTTATCTAGTACAGCTATCTGGTTCTAGGAAGGCAATAACTACAGCGGCCAGTATCGTGACTACACGTTCATCAAACGTCCGCTGATCCGCATTAAGGTGTTGGGTCATCCGGGTACCACCAACATCACGTTTGAGCCCACCCTCGACCAGATGCGCTTACAGATCGTCAAGTGGTTCCACACCATCATCAATGTCAATATTAATCTGCCCAGCGTTGATGCCATCATGTATCCTGGTATTATGAATTTCCCACATAGTAGTGCAGTATAATATTGCCCCGACTTTCCTTCCTCTTTTGAACAAAAAATCTTTTTATTAATTCTTGTGGAGTAATATGTTAAGCCGTTGGTCCCGGTTGCATTTGTAGTCGTTAATACCCGCCAATCCGCATTGGGCCAGCGTGGAGGGTCAACACCCATGCTTCTTAACTATCAATAAGGAAGGCCTGAGCCCTTGCAGTGGGGACGAATAAAGGGCTGATGATGATGATGATGAATATGTATTTTTCCAAATTGTGAGTATGTGTCTTAAGTAGAGGAAAGAAAACAAATATTGAATACTTTGCCTAATATGAAAAATTGAAATTAATTCTGTTTTTTTTTTCTAATAAGGACTAATTTCTGAATATGCAATTAGTCCAACAAATCTGTAATCTGCTTGTGATTTCGCTTGACATATTTAAATTCCATATTTGGTTATTTTTCTGTACTTAACTGAAAGATGGAATGACAGAGCGTACTACTAATCACTATTATTTATTTACATTGCTCGGGTTTGAAGTAATAATTGAAATATATTTTATTATTGTCTTATAACATTAACCAGGTGTGCAACGACCTAAACCTTACTTGATGATGGTTTATCCTGATGAAGAGTATATAATGAATCTCGTATCCGACTGCATCAAACAGTTCAACATGAACCGACCAGGCCCCACAAAATTCCTAAACTGTTACCAGGAATATTACTACATACTGGACGGCACGGCTAAGCAAGATCTACTTCGGTTTTTCGCACAAGAACCACCACCGTATCTGAAGGTTTGTGAAGAATTCATTGTTGTAGTTGATGTTTAACAGCACCGATAATTTTATGTTGTACCTGGTCTTGGCTGAGTTCAAAGAGGTTTTGGCATGAAGATGTTTTCAACATATACCACATAATTGGTAAGTGATCGAAGGAAAAATTATTTTAGCTTTACTTTTCTTTTGCTTACAATTGTTCTTATATTAATTAATATCAGATTCTTCCTAATAACATACTAAGGGGTTACTCTATTTATACAGGATTTCTCAGCTCGCATCTACATGTATGAGAGTCTACGTGATGAGATCCTGTTCCTTCGTCGCGATATTCCTCTGAACATGGTGATGTTGGATTGTGGTCCAATAAACGATACAATGTGGGCTGAAGTAGACGGGCTCCGGTCATACATTGTCGATCACTTCATTAATGTCAACAAGAAGTGGAACAGATCGTTAGTTTGATTATTATCAATTTATGCACCGTCCACATAAAAATATGTATATGTACCTTTAAATATAAAATCATGGTCACTTCAACTAATATTAACTTTCTTATATACTGATCAATATGTACACCTAGTACTCATTTGATCCTTAAGTTTAAAGGAAGATTATACTACTATATTGTGAGTATTTTAATACACATAGTTTAAACTGCTAAGATTCTTACATAACAAGAAAATATTTTACTACATTTGTTTTGTGGGTTTATGTAATTGTTTCAAGGTGTCGCCATCTCTGGGGTCGGGTTCGATTCCCGGTCGGGTCAATGTAGAAAATGAACTTTTCTATATTGACTCGGGTCTGGGTGTTCTGGTACCTTCGTTGTCTCAGATACTCCATAAAACGGGGGCTTTAGCTACTCATCTTGGAATCTGAGCAATGTATGTGATGTTGTTAAATATTTATTTATTTATTTATTTAATTAATGCGAATAAAACGAAAATAATGAAAGATCATTTTGATAGTATCTGTAACGTGTACGAGGAGATGGCGGCGCGCGCGTCAGAGAGTCCAGAGACCACGGCTCAGTTGGTGGAACTGATCAACTACATCCAGGACTGTCGCGACTGCGCAATGTTCGACCTGCGAGAGAAAGCCAGAACTACCGCCGAATACGTCCTATTTCTCATGCAACACGCCCATCTCAACTGTAAATAATCATATTCTTTTTCGCGTTTGTTAACTTGTAAATGTTGTTTTTTTTTTTGGAACAGTCCCTAATATACATTGCTCAGATCTAGTTCAATTAGCTGGTACTTATGTATGAAATCTTACACAAGGAAAACAGCAAACCCGAAAGAATAGATAATTTTCTATTTAACTGTGAATTCTATTTAAACAGAACTGGAGACCACAAAAATGCTTAGATAAAAGTTGTTTAGATAAAAGTTTTTTGCAAACGTCACATTTGAAAAATGTTTGTGTTATGATTTTAGTTGAGGACATTAACCTGAATACCAGGGTGTTCCTTTGGCCGTTGGATATGGAAGAAACCATAGATCTCACTTTGAGGACTCTATACACAAAGAAGACCATGGCCGAAGACAAGCTGCGCACACGCAAAGCTATTTTCGAAGAGAAATTGAAGCGTCATGAGAAGGATCTGGACGTTTTTAGGCGTTTCGATCCACCTTTACTCAACCTCGACTTGCTCAAAGAAGTTGTCGGGAAGGTCGATGAAATCTTCAAAAATTTAACAGTAGGTTTTTAATATTTGGATTTTCAATTTCAATTTATACATGATATGACTGAAGAAGTCTTTTATTATCATGGCTTCTTTGAATTATTTTTTAGGATGATAAATATGAAGCAGAAGAAATAATAAGTGAAGAGACTCTATTGGATCAAGAGGTATCGGTATACTTCAGTCTTCAAACCATGTTAGCAGGCATCGATCCTTTCCATAAGTTATGGCATACATCCTACGATTTCTATGACGGTTATGAGAAATGGTAATAATTTATAATAGTATTGTTTTGTACCGTATTTGAGTTATTTATCGACAAACATTAATAATTCGATCTTTATATTTTTAATTAATAATAACTTAATATTGCAAGTCCCTTATTTTTAGGTATCATGGACCATTCCTTGGTCTGGATGCGGAACAGATCTCTGAGGACGTGGAAGCGTGGTGGAAGCTGCTTTACAAACTTGGCAAACAGTTGTTTGAATACCCCGGTGCTAAGCGTATTGCTGACATGGTGCGCAATAAGGTTGAAAAGTTCAAGGTTCTACTGCCTGTGCTGTGTGCTATTTGTAATAAAGTAAGTATTGCTTAATTATGTTTTTTACGTAAGTAGTAAGTACTGGAACTAATTAAAGGTGTCGATAAGCCTAGCATTGCATTCAAAAACCGAATGAGTACTTATACACTTTAAAATATTACCAGCAGTTCATCTGCAATCCAGCAAATCTGTTCTTGTTATGAACTTCAGAATCAGATCGTACAAATAGAATTTTGTTGCCCAAAGATTAAATTGCTCTGTAGAAGAAAAAATCAACAATAGGAATTATGTCTGGGTAAAAATAAATAAATAAAATATTTATTACCTTCCTATAAAGAACGATTATCATATTTTAATGTATCTAGTCTACAAGACCGAAGACGATTATTGGATGAATTATTTCTATATAAAATTGTTAACGGTGCATTAGATTGCTCAGCTCTTTTACAACAAATTAATACTAATACTCCACGTAAGCATGTTAGACCCTCGCGTTCATAAATTGTTTTCTCCTCAATCTTTTAAGAGCAATCTAGGACACTATTCGGTATTAAATAGAAGCCAAATCAATATAATGTCACTGCGAAAAGAAATAACGAATTAGATATTTTTTTCCAAATTTAACTTGTTTAAATCTAACATGATTGCTGCTACAACAGATAAGTAATTGTTATCATAATGATAGAATAACTAAGTGTAATCTTATTAAACATCTCTCACGTATTTCCTCCTGTGTAACTGTACATGCCGTGGCAGCTTGTAATTGAGGCAACATTTATTTGCATGCTATTTTATTATTGTAATAATGCTATTATCAGTGTATTGTCTTGTAAGCTGTCCTTAAATAAATAAATATTTGAAACGTATTTCTTTTTGCTTCAAATTAATAAGAAATGACTCAGATTATAGGCATTACAATTGAGGAGTCGGGGCTTACTACGTCACAATTATGTAGAAAATCTACATAGGTGACATAGGTGTTTACTGTGTTTGCGATAATCTATGTACCTGATGAACAAAAATGTTTTGTTATTATACCAGTTCTTTTAGTAGTCATTTTATTTTATCATTGGTAAAACTAAGGGCATGCGAGACCGGCACTGGGCCAAGATCAGTGAGCTGGTCGGCGTGGAGATTGTGCACGAGCCGGAGACAACGTTGGCGGACATGGTGGAGCAGGGCGTGCACGTGTACGTGTCGCAGCTCGAGGAGATCGAGCAGTACGCCTCCAAGGAGTATGCGCTGGAGCGAGCGCTCAACAAGATGAAGGAGGAGTGGTGCGGTGTTAAGTTCGAGGTGGTGCCTTACAGGTACGATAATATTTGTATACGGATGATTATTAAATCCAGATCAAAGTGCGAAGAAAAGGCCTATTTTTCCAAGTTTTATAAATTAAAGGCTAACGCTAATTTTATTGTGTTCAGGAAAGTAATATATGGATTATAGCAATAAAGTGACACGGTGTAGCAAGAATAGTAGATCGTGCGTATTATTTGCTTTTGTATTTTAAGTTCATATTAAGATCATGGCATGGCATGGTATGTTCTAGGAATCCATAATAATAAATTTTATGTACTAAACTATTTTTATGATCAGAGATACTGGTGTGGGAATTCTGACCGGCTTGGACGACATCCAGCAACAGTTGGATGATCACATCCTTAAATCGCAGACTATGCGTGGTTCACCGTATGTGAAGGCCTTCGAAGCAGATATGGCGGCTTGGGAAGAGAAGCTCATCAGCATGCAGGATATTCTCGATCAATGGTTGCAGGTGAGATGATTGATATGAATTCTATTTTACTAGTCTGAACAAACTATTGAAAGTAGGATTTGGATATAAAAATGAATAATTTAATTCAATAACTTGGGAAGAGATTCAAACGCTGTATTTATATTATTTTAATGTTTGTTTTTAGTGCCAAGCGACCTGGATGTACCTCGAACCTATCTTTTCGTCTGAAGACATTATGCGTCAAATGCCCACGGAAGCTAGAAACTTCCGTGACGTGGATAAAGAGTGGCGCGTTATTATGACAGCCACTCAAAAGGACCCGCTGGTGCTGCCAGCTACCGACTTCCCTGGGCTGCTTAAGAAACTCCGCCATAACAACGCACTGTTGGAAGACATTCAAAGAGGATTGAACGATTATTTGGAGAAGAAGAGACTTTTTTTCCCACGGTAAAAACTAGTCGCGAATTTGTTTAGGATAGCTTTTAATCCAGCTTATGTTACCCAGGGTCCATTTTATTTATTTCTAGAAATATTTCGCAATTTGTAATCTCTGAAAAAGACTGTAAAAGTTAATGATAATCTTAAATTATAGATTCTTCTTCTTGTCGAATGATGAGCTGCTGGAAATACTCTCAGAGACTAAGGATCCCATGCGTGTGCAGCCCCATCTTAAGAAGTGCTTTGAGGGCATATATACTCTCGAGTTTAATGCAGCCAAGGAAATCGTGGGCATGGCTTCAGCGGAGGGAGAGATTGTCAAACTATCTACGAGTATACAACCTGCTGATGCTAAGGTACCGTTAAAACAATATTATTTTATAACAAATATAATTGCGCAATGAAACAACTTATTATTTCTGAAATCAAAAAGGTTCCCCACAAATTTTAATTCATGTTGTAGAAATAATGTTAAACTATAATATTATAGTAAGCTAAAATAAACTCGAACATGTTTAGTTAACCCGTGTAGTCTCCATGGGAGTAACTAGAGAGGAGGGTTGGGGGGAGGGGGGCAGGAATGAGCAGACCCTAAGTAAGACCCTATCTAAGCTGGTGATGAAGATAAAAGACCCTTTAACAAAATAAATAAATATCTTTTCAATCAGGGCATGGTAGAACGTTGGTTACAACAACTGGAGCAGCAGATGATAGTGAGTCTCAGAGATGTGGCTACGGAAGCCATTACAGCGTATGCGACCACACAACGTGAGGAATGGGTACTCATATGGCCAGGTCAAATTGTGCAAGCTGGCTCTTGTGTGCAATACACGACTGAGGTAATTTCCTTTAAAATTAAACTTATATATATGAATAAATAACTATTTTGGAAGTAGAAAATATATTCTAAAATACAAATATGGTATGCATGAAAGAAAATGACGTGGCAAGCTTAACTTTTAATGAGTTTTCTTTATAAATGATAAATTTATTTGTCTTATTATTCAATTTCAATAAAAAGTTTTGTATAAATAAGTACTAAGTTTTAAAACTATAGGCAATAGAAGCGATCCAGACTTCTAGTTTACCAGAGCTTGTGGAGCGCAGTACGCAACAGATCACAGGACTGGTGTATCTGGTACAGGGCGAACTTGATCCTGGAAACCGTATCACAGTAGAAGCTTTGATAGTACTCGATGTGCACGGTAAGTCATAGTGCATCATAGCTCCTCATGCCCCTCATGATAATTTCCATAATCTAATTGCCTCCCGCAGTTGATGTAAAGTTGATAAAGCCATAGATATGATAGATAATATCTTGCTTCCACATATTAGTGCTTGACTTCAAAAGCATTTCCTTAAAACCTATCCATAAAAAAGGCAAAAAGGATGATTTACAGAATTACCGTCCAATATCTTTGTTACCCACGGCGTCGAAAATTATAGAAAAAGCTATGTGCAATAGATTATACTCGTACTGTGAAAAATATAAAATTTTTGATAATGCTCAAAATGGATTTAGAAAAAATCGTTCAACAACCTTAGCAGTTTTTAAATATGTACAGGAGATTTTGGAAATATTAAATTGCAAACGTTACGCTATAGGGTTGTTACTAGACATGTCAAAAGCCTACGATAAAGTTTTATTCAACATTTTACTTGATAAACTTTTTTTTTTTATTATTATTATTTATTGGACAACCAACAAGACATTCACTTAAATTGTTATATTAGTTACTTGCATGTTCATATATTGAAGTGAACTCTCAATTATAGGTTGCCACGGCAAGCTTCATAAGAAAAAAGGATTAAAAAAAAAAGAATATGGGCATGCAAATTACTTAGCAAGCTTATTTAATACATGACAACAGCATAGTTCTACGACATTTTGTCTTGGATTCAAATCTAATTTACTAATGCTGTTGCCATGACCAAGGACAACTTTATCCACTGCAATAACAGCAAATTAACGGCTCTAAGAGACGAATACAGTGGACTTACATTAATAGGGATGACAACTGGGTAAAAAAAAATGCAATTCTATTTAGTCCGTCAGTCAAATAACAGAAAAATACTAGGCAGAAAAAATTAGTCGTCATCCCTACTATACTATATCATACTACACTATACTATATAATATTATACTATACAATACAATACTATACTACACTACATTACATTATACTACATTATAGAGGCAATAAAAGCACCCTGTTTAGAAAATATGTCAACATCATTGCTTTTAGAAATCCTATTATACAATTTCTGCATACGGTTAACTGCTGAGAAGTGACCTAAATTACTTTTATATTATATAGTATCGGTGTGAGAGGAATGGCGCACAGGTGGTTTGCGTCATACCTACAAAATAGAATACAATATGTTGAAATCGAACACTTCGACGAAAACACTGCAGAGAAAAAAAATGTCCGTTCTGAGGTGCAGACTGTAAATTACTCCATTCCACAAGGCAGTGTGCTCGGATGTGTTTTATTTCTGATTTATATAAATGACCTCCCTAAAATCTTATTAAATGACTCGTGTATTTTATTTGCAGATGACGTTTCTATTTTGACTTCGTGTACCGATAACTTAAATTTGAACGAAAAATTGACAAATATTTTAAATGTTGTTTCTGAGTGGATGAAGGACCATAATTTAGGAATAAATTATACCAAAACTAAAATCATGCAATTTAGACCTCATCAAAAACAAGCACTAAGCATAAAATTTGAATACAAAAATAATCTATTAGAATGTGTTAATACTTTCAGGCTTCTATGGTTAAATATAGATACCAATGTAAACTGGAAAGATCATATAGAAACAATTAAAGCAAAATTATCTTCCTTTCTTTATGCTTTAAGGGAAATAAAGGTAAGCTGTGATTTCAACTCAGCAATGGCAACTTATTATGCATACGCCCACGCTTGGCTTTCGTATGGAATCATACTCTGGGGCAATAGTACAGACATACAAAATGTTTTCCTTAAACAAAAAAAGTGCATACGAATCCTTGCCAATATTGACACTACTTGTAGTTGTAGACCATACTTTAAGCAATTTAAGATATTGACTGTGACTTCTCTGTATATATTAGAGCTTTGTAAATTAGTTAAAAAATATCCTGACTTCTTTACCAAAAAAAAAATGATATTCTGAGGAGATATCCGGCGAGATACAAGAATAATTTGATACTTCCAAAATCACAATTGACTTTGCACAGTGCGAGTCTCTATGTAATGGCAATAAAAATTTTTAATAGATTACCCCATAATTTAAAAAATGAAATTAATATCAAAAAGTTTGTAACGACATTGAAGCAAATTCTCATTGACAAGTGTTATTATAATGTCCAAGAATATTTTGATGACAAATTGTAATATTTTATTGCCGTTGACATAACATGTTTTTCTTTCTTCCTTGACAATTTAATTTATCTCTTGACAATTTAACTTTTGTTTTGTTTTGACATCTACATTGTGACATAGTTTATAATTTTTAATTCTAAGCATTTGACATTTATTGTACTTAATTGAAAATTACCAGACAATTAACATTAATTTTATATACTTATGATTATTTTTAAAATGAAAATTAGGGACGAATGTGAATTTAAATGAAATTTTATGAATGTAAGATATTGAGGAAAGTGAAGATATAGAAGATTTTATTTAAAGCATTTACTATTTACAATGAAATTTTAATTTTAATTTAAATTTGCTACAACCTTACAGGGTGTCACATAAACTGTACCTAATAATAACACCTGTTTTACTATGTGACAGGCAATAAATGAATTATGAATTAATTAAACATCTTCTACAAGGACGGTCGATATTGGAAGAGATGGTAGAGCGCAAAGTGAGTGAGGTGACGGACTTCAACTGGATCTCACAGCTGCGGTACTACTGTCGTGGTGATCGCACCGTATGTTCTATGATCACTACCGACGTCGATTACGGCTTTGAATACTTGGGCAACACTGGGCGACTGGTTGCCACGCCACTCACTGACCGCTGCTTTAGGTGAAATAAAAGTTTATTCTCTAATCTAAGACCAAGAAAGAATTTAAAGTCAAAAGAGTTAAATATATTTGATAAATTTTACATTCACAATGCTATTTTCACGTTCATCTTTGAGAAAAATGAGATGTGGACGTCGGAAATGAGTTTTAAATGAATAATATTCTTCAGGACCCTCATGAGTGCTTTAAAACTGAACCTGGGTGGCGCACCAGAAGGCCCTGCTGGTACCGGTAAAACTGAGACCACGAAAGATTTGGCTAAAGCTGTTGCTAAAAAATGTGTCGTCTTCAACTGCTCAGATGGCCTCGACTACAAAGCGCTCGGCAAATTCTTCAAGGTTATTTTAATGCTAACTAACGAATAACTCCTTACCTGGTGTTAGCATTATGTTGAATATTTTTAATGAGCTTCTTTTGAAAAAATTTTTGTCGAAAAAATAGACTATTGGAAAATAAAAACTACAACATTCATAAGTTATGTCGTAAAATATTCTTCCATGTAAGATACTTTTTATGATAACCCTCGCAATTAACGAAACAATTCAAATCCTGAAAACAGGTTTTTAGAGACGTAGATGACAGTGAATAACCTTTACCAATTACAAACTGCAATATTACCGATATTCTCATATTTAGGGTCTAGCGCAATCCGGCGCATGGGCTTGCTTCGACGAGTTCAATCGAATCGACTTGGAAGTCTTATCCGTGGTGGCGCAGCAGATCCTGTCCATCCAGCTTGCCATCCTACGTCGTGAGAAGCGATTCGTGTTCGAAGGAACTGAAATAAGTCTTAACCCTACATGTTCTGTGTTCATCACCATGAATCCTGGGTTAGTAGTGTTTGTGTTTTTGCATATTTCCCTTATTCTATTATATAGTTTCCAGCATTTATATTTATCAGGCCTGATAATTTATATGTTTCGTAACGTTATTAGTAATTTTGTAAGATAATACTTAAATATTTTTTACTTTTATAATAGTTATGCCGGTCGTACTGAGCTGCCGGACAACTTAAAAGTGTTGTTCCGCACTGTAGCTATGATGGTGCCAGATTATGCTATGATCGGGGAGATTACATTATACTCCAATGGATTTGTTAACGCCGGACCGTAAGTATTTAATTTAGCTGCCAAACTTTGTCAAAGAATTTAAAAAGAAATAACTAGCCGTACCCAGACGACAAACAGTTAAATCATAATGATTTGACTGCATCAGATTAGTAGTTAAAACTGTAACGTGAACCTGAAAATATAATACGAGTAAGTTTGATTGGTTTGGTCCTTTTTGTGATATAACATAATCCTAATAGTAAGATAGTAAAATTAAACGTACTTAATTTATATACGCTATAGCACACGTTACACCTAGATATAAGTAACTACACAGACATATGTTCTTGCCTATCCCACAGGTTGGCACGTAAGATAGTACAAGCTTATAAACTATGCTCAGAGCAGTTATCATCACAAAATCATTATGATTACGGTATGCGAGCCGTAAAGTCGGTGCTTTTGGCATCTGGAGCACTGAAGAAAAACTACCCAGAGAAGGACGAGTCACAGCTGGTGCTCAGAGCTATCATCGATGTGAACATGCCCAAATTTCTGTCGCAAGTAAATTGGAAAACCTTATTGTTTATCTTCGAGGATTGACATTTATTTTGACTAACTGATATTATTGTTATGGTATTAATTATGTTAAATAAATTTCTCACGCCATCTATATTATCTAGAACTGAATTTTCTTATATTAGGACGTGCCGCTGTTCTCCGGTATATACTCTGATCTCTTTCCCGGGGTCGAAATTCCTCAACCAGATCGTGCTGAGCTGCTCAAGTGTATTAACAAAGATCTGGAGAAGAGAAATCTGCAACCTACTGATTGGTACCTCGAAAAGATCATACAGGTATTTCTCATTCAAATTCATGTAATAAAATGGAAAAGAAGATTGAGTGCAAATCTAAAGTGTAATTAGTTTTCAAATTACAATGAAAAAAAATCAAAGATTCGAATAACAGAAACATTAAGGTTATATTTTCACAATAAAATATGCTATCATATTATTGACTATAGTTTTTTTTTATATTCACGGCAATTTTATCTAATATACTGCCGTGAAAGAATTAATAATTTGCTTGTATATCTTCACAAGCTGACAAATTTTGTGTAGATCTACGAGATGATGCTGGTACGACATGGGTTCATGGTAGTGGGCCCACCGATGGGCGGCAAAACTCAGGCATACCAGTCACTAGCGGACTCTTTACGCGCCCTCCAGCTGATGAAGCCACCGCCTAGACACAAGGAGTTCGGAGCAATATATCGGATTATAAATCCTAAGGCTATCACTATGGGGCAGTTGTATGGCTGCTTCGATCCTGCCTCGCATGAATGGTGAGTTTTCAATCTGAATACTGATTGCTTCTATTGTCTTATTATTATTATTATTATTGTCTATTGTCTGTATATAGGGAACTATACAAATTTGGAAACGAGAGAAAAGAACAAAGAGAAAATGCATTCTTTTTCGCTTACTTGAAAAGTCAACTTAAGGAAAACTGATTACGTAGGTAACAGTTTAGCATAAATAAAATAAATAAACTTAGTGCGAGTGCCTATTTCACGATATGATATTAGTATTGTGTCCACAGTACTCCTATACAAAGCGTAACTAAAGCTATTCAAACTATAGTCGAATGGCGATGGTAACAAGTCAGATAACTCTTATTATATTTCTGAAAACTTCAATGCAATTACAAAAATATAGACGTCTCCGAACGTGTTATGAATTTTGCGCAGCGAGTGATTGAATTCTAACTAAATGAATTTTTGCTTTTGCGAGGTTAGCAAGTATCAAAAAAACCACATCTTGTGTTTAGGTCCGATGGTGTGTTGGCTATAGCGTTCAGGGAATATGCAATGTCTATCACACGAGATCGCAAGTGGATCTTGTTCGATGGGCCAGTGGACGCCGTGTGGATAGAGAATATGAACACAGTCCTCGACGATAACAAGAAGCTCTGCCTCATGAGTGGCGAGATTATACAGGTTATTATTTTTTCTTCAGAGTGTCTCGACAATTAAAAGTGGATCAAATTAGATCGAAAGAGTATTAAATTACAGACAAAGTCAAATATAAGGTAATAACTCGTCTCCTAAATTAAAGAGTAAAATTCGGTAGCAATTGAATGAAGATAAATTTGGAATTAGTGTTACTGGGAATGTAACTGGTAGCTATCGTTATCGAAGATTTCAATGTCATTTAACAACATTTTGACATTGTATTGGATTGCTGTGAAATTCTAGAGATCGGTTAAAATAAAACATCCGTAGTACAATACACTATTACTATACGAAGATGTTTATTTATTTAATAATATCAAACAGCATTTATGTAGTTTTATTTCTTTCACTTTTTTGATATATATTTTATTTAAAGAGCATGATTTTGACACAATTTAAATAGGTATATCGCTTTTATTTGTAGATGACAAACAAAATGAATTTGATCTTTGAGCCGGCAGATCTAGAGTTCGCATCTCCAGCTACCGTCTCTCGATGCGGCATGATATACATGGAGCCAGAACAGCTTGGTATTACTGCTCATTTATTTTCTTATTTTTTTTGCCCATTGTATTTTACAAAAAATATGCTGATAGGTAAATACGACCTCGTCGCAAGAAAAGCAATTGTAGATTCGTGATTCATTATTCTATAGTTTATTCAAACTTGGTACACATTAGAATTTTCATAGTTATTATTTGTATTTTTACACTGTGACACATCACTGCTTCATTACTTAACTGTGGGCACGCACAAATCAAAAGACATAGAAGGGTTGATTCATGTTAACAGTCTTAACTTTCCACATTGGAGAACAAAATACTAAAGCTTACCTATTTGTGCTTTAAAGTTTGTTGCATAGTTGTTTTAATTTTATTTGATAACATTGTATGGCAGGGTGGCGAGCATTTCTCGCTTCATACAATACACACCTCAGCAAGCGACTCATCCCTGAACAGTTTGAACTGATTCAGGAGTTGATTGATTGGTTGGTACCACCAATATTCGAGTTCCAGCTGGTAAAGTGCCACCACTTTGTCGTTGTAGGGGAGATCCATCAGTTCTTTGTGAGTTCATGATGTTTGATGTGCTTAAATATAGTTATTATCAAACACTTAAATAGTTATATTTTTATGATATTTACTGTATTCTTCATGGATGTGCTTTACTAAATTATTTTTGGTCTGCTGATATATAAACCCAACCATGTGATTTGATGGCTCATATAATGTCTGTAACAGTCGTTCACGCGTTTGTTTACGTGCCTACTGGAGGGAGAAACACAGTTTAGCACGATGTGGCTGCAATGTACCTTCGTCTTCGCTCTGCTATGGGGACTCTGCCCTTCACTCACAGGTTAATTTAAGCATATTTCAATAAATATTTAAGAATGTAAAATTTAAACCTGCTGAAAATTATATTAATATGGTAGTGTGTGGTAATAAGACAAGTTATTCGATAAGAAAGAAATGATCAACAAGGTAGACAAGAAACCATCAATGACTGAAAACTTGTGGAATGATAAATGTATGTATAAATATGTACAGTAAGTTAGGTTAAGGTAAGTCAATAACTTTCAGACATAAAAAGACGATCGTAATAAGTTCTTTCTTACATAACTTCAGTTATTTTCTTCCTTCAAGTTTTATAAGAGTTTTGAACATTGGCGAACAAAAAAACTCTCTACTCAATTCAATAATAGATTCATAATTAAAACTCAGGCGACAGTCGCAAGACTTTCGACACGTTCTTCCGTAAGCTGCTGAACGGCGACAACGCTGCGTACCCTAAGCCGAAGTCATTCAAGTTGACCAAGAGTCAGCTCTTCCAGGATAAAGACACCGTTTTCGATTACGTTTACGACAAACGGAACAACGGTACTTGGATACCTTGGGTCGATCTGGAGAAGGAAACTACGCTTGCTGCTAACGCTAAGGTGCGTTGATAAGTTGAACTTTGTGTTTCTTATTTTAATTTTCACAATATGATATTCAGTGTCCATTTTGTTGTAGAGTGAGGCATCAGTTTTGTCTATTGCTGTCCTCTAATTTGTAGAAATTTTAGTTCTTAGTTCAAAAACATTTGTGTCATTTATAACTTGCCTTTTGCTTATAACAATATTTTCAAGTAGTAGCCATGGTTATCAAGATTTTTGAGAATATTGCTTGGCTTGATGTATGCAATGCGTCTAGTAGTATTGACATCTTTGTCTACTTACTAGTACTTACTAGTATTATATTTTAATGTCATTTGGTGTTGTAAATCATTATCTCGTAACTATTATATGGGGTAAATTGTATTTATAATTCTATGACTGCGTTTACCAGGTGAATGAGCTGATAATTCTGACCAATGAAAACGCGTGCCTACGATACTTCGTGACTAAGATGGTGAAGTCGAAGATCCCAATACTGTTGGTGGGACCTACGGGAACCGGGAAGTCATCGCTAGTACTCAACTTTCTGCTGACGCTGCCCAAAGAAAAGTATATTACAAATACTATCAACTTCTCCGCACGAACCACTGCTAATCAAGTACGTTGCAAATAGTATTAAAGTGAATACGCTAATATTTAAATCAAAAGTGCTATTAAAAGCTCTAACCATATGTTTTAGACCCAGGACATTATTATGTCGAAAGTTGACAGAAGACGTAAAGGTGTTTTCGGTCCATCTATGGGTAAAAAGGTGGGTTCTATTATATTATTATTATAATGTGAATTCATATATATATAAATGTAATAATGTATTATCTTGTAAATGACATGGGATTTTGTAAACGTCGTTACTTCATTAAAGCTGGTGTGTTTCTTGTTCGTTCTTCTGATTAGTCAAAAAACGTCCAGAACGAGTTGTATTGAAATAAATGTACGTTTCCAAAGTACATTTGAAATAAGTTTATTTGAATAAATATACTTTTATTTTGACTTAGTTCGCATTTCAAAATAAAAACATTAATAATGATAATGTACCTATTGATATTTTTCACATTAATTATTCCTTTTTTAAGTATAAATGGGAGCAAGAACTCACACTTTTAAAATAGTTTTAATATGTTTAAGTCAGGTTAAGTGTGTAAGTATATATTATATTTTTATCAGTGCGTCCTGTTCGTGGATGATTTGAGCATGCCACAGAAAGAACAGTGGGGCGCACAACCACCGCTCGAATTACTGCGTCAGTGGATTGATCACGGACACTGGTACGATCTCAAGGAGATGGTTAGGCAGGAGGTGGTCGACGTGGTGAGTTGGTTGATCAGGTTCAATGTGAAAATGCATTGTTGGATTATTTAGTGACATCTGATAATTACCTTGAGGCATATAGGTATTAATATGATAAAGTTTGTTTACATTCAACTGGATAAATAATGTCAACTGGATGTAATTGATTAGGGAAATCTAAGGTTTAAAATCAATTAATAATTAACACTAGTGATTCAAATTCGGCCATTAACGTTATTCTATTTTTATAGTTTTCACTCTGATTCGATATTGGATCCATCATATTTTACTGTAGCTCTAATAAGATATCAGTCTTTACTGTTAGGGTATTTCTATCATTTGGTGCAAATCTGACAGATTTGTGAGAAAATTTTAAATACCTGTTTTTCAACTTTCATAACAATCTTTATCAAGAATCTAACATATGCATGTGATTTATACAAAATTATACGCATTAAATGAATAGATATTGACTAATTAAAATATATACATATGATGGTAATGAAAACTGTGCAGTTGGTAATGAAATTGGGGATAAAGGTAATGAAAAAAAATTGCTGGTAATGAAATCAGAGACTAGGCAATTAAACGAAATGGCTCGTAATGTCGATGTAAATAAAATATATTAGTTTTACATAATCATTTTACTATCAATTTATTTATGTGAATATTCATTTTATATTAAAAAAAAACAACATAATATAGAATTCTTCCAATTAAAACAAAACATAAACTACTTCACAAAATTCTTCAAATTCAATTATTTTCTTTAATCTTTCAATTATAAAACCCTAAAAGTAAAAAATAACTTTGGTATCTTTGTCCATAAATGTAACAACTATAGGAAATAAACTATTTACTTAAAAAAAACAGTCACTTATTACAAATCAAATAAGTTAGTTTCTAATCAGTCTCATTTTACTTAATAGTTATGATTGTTATTAAAGAGTAAAGTAATTTTATAAATAGATACTAATGAAATATATTTGTACTGTTTTTTGGTTATATTATTGGCATTTGATTCGAAATTACTAAAGTTTTAGCTAGCCCTATATTATACCGCTAAAAGATATTACAGGATTTCAAACTGAACAGATGAAATAATCTTTCTTATGAATATAAAAAAATATGTAAGTATGACAAACAACAAAAACTAAACTCTTAATTCGCAAAATATCAATTCTTTGACTTGATAAATTAAAAAATACTTTCATCAGAATTATCAAAAAATGAAAAAATACGTGAGTTTTTCTTTAGAATTCTGTCCTCTTCATATATTTCTTCTCCACTGCTACTTTCATCCAAATAGTTAAAATACTTTTTTTCACCTTTCTATCCTTTATGTGTACATTTTTTACATTATCAATTTCTGAAATATCATCAGGATTATTTTGTTCTTTATCTTGTTCATTTTTTGCTACTTCTTCTACATTTCTAGAAATAAACTTTTCGAAATCAAGTTGAAAATTTGCATTTCTTGTTTTCTTCATTTCAGTGCCAATAAAGGTAGTGTTGGTCCAATGTACTTTTACATCAGAGAGTATGGTGATTTTGTTATTATGTTTGGATCTACTTGAAGAAGCCATCATATTTTGTGGAGCTTCAGCGGTTAATCTAGTCTGGAATTGATTAGTAGTAGTAGGAGCTCGAGGATTTGTCAATTCTCGAAGGACATCGTTCGACGTGTTTTCATTTACGAAATCTTGTAGATGTTCAGCATCGATATTTTTATAAACACAAGTTACGTTCATAAATCCAAGATGGTATCCGTGTGAACATATTTCACCATTTTCACACAAGAAACAACTTAGTTTTCGGAATGTTGTTCGAAGCTTGTTATATGACCAAAGCACTTGATGCACAGACATTGTTCCACGAAATCCTTGAACCGATGAGGGAAATTTTCTCTCTTCAATATCTTCTTTTGAGACAGTAAGAAGTTTGATATTCTTCACCTTGTCTTGAATAAGCTCAAAAAAGTCTTCCATCGTGCCAATATCATTACCAAACCGTACAATTTGATCTGCGGTTCTCTTTAGGACAGCACCGAGACCATCAGGCGCTCCTTTGCCATGTCCAGCCTCGAAATAGTTCCAGGTCACAAATTTTAACTGTGGAAAATCCTGTTGTAGTTGACTAATAACGAAGAAAATGTAGCGATTCCTATATTGGCTAGAAGGACTGTCAGATACAAAATGTACTGTGTCAATCTGAGGTGATATTTCTGTTACGTAGGCTAGTAGCGGTATGAGATGTGCCCATATGGCACTGGCGTCATGTCTGTTGCATTTGCTGATACTGCAAACGCTGTATGTCTTCGTGATTCCAGTTTCTGGATCAATTAAATAAGCTACCGCAGTGTGCAATGTTATTTGCAATCGACTGCCGCCGAAATGATAGCTTTGTATCTCCTCATTAAACTTAACGGAATAATTTTCTGAAAAATCTATGTGTAGCATAACCTCCTTAGTAGTCATTGTCGCTTTTAAAGATTTGATATTCTTGTACTGGACAACGATGTTAGTACAATGCTTAAAGTATGAATTCAGAGAATCTTCTAATTTTTTCACAACGTTTATTGGATAATCCTGTAATCGAGTTTTTACGGTAACAATTTTTACTGTCTCTTGACCGTTTACATGATGGTTTACTTTTTTTGCGCACCACTGATAATAGTTTATTTTCTCTCCATTACAAAATTCTCTATAGTTAATTACTTTGTTTCCACATACTTCACATGTTCGATTCAAGCATTCTTCATTGTTTATGTCACAGCACAAACTTTCCAACATAGCAGTCCCATTGGCCTCTGTAGTGATTTTTTTCTTGTTAAGACTTTTAACCAACAAATCAAAATTAACGTGTGTTTTACAAGCACATGTGTTACGATCAGATTCTTTCAGATAGAGAACCCAAAATGGTCGATATTTACAGAACGTAGAATATGCAATATTATTGTTTTGGATGTACATGAACTTTTTATGGAGGTTAGTTAATGTATCTGATAAATAGCGCTTCTGTTTTCTTAGTCCATTTCGTGTTATAAATTCTTTTTTATCAGGAGATATTTTAGTATTGCAGTCGTCTTCGAAAAAGTTTTCTATGTCTTGTTTGATTTTACACTCTGTATCCATGCTTGATTCATTGCTGTGACATATTTTATTTTTATCTCGCACTGTGAACTTCTTCGTTTTACTTAAAACCTTGTGCTTTTTAAAACGATCTTTTTCCTTCATGACTATGTCACTAAACTCTCGTTTTTCTTTCTTGCCTAAAACTTTAAATCCATCTCTTAAATTGTTAGATATGATTTCTCCAAATAATATTTTTTTCTTTACTTTCTCACGCTTGTCTACGTCTATTGATTTTATCAAATTATCCACTTTCTCGACAGTTGATGGTACTTTAGCTTGTATTTTTCTGTGTTTTTTTATTTGCCTAATCATAATTTTTCTCATTGCATACTTTTCTTTAATAACTTTTTCCTTCTCTTGTCTCAGTTTACCTAATTCTTTCTTGTAACCATAGCGCAGTCTTTTAATTAATTTATCTTTTTTCTCACACTTTTTGCAGTTTACGCTAGGCACCTCTACTAATTGGTTTGACGGCCCTTCTAATGGATCTTCCCCAGCATCTATATTTTCTTCTCTATCGCTTGTTGGAGGTGAATTGTCAATCAGCATCTGTTGTATTACTCTGTCTTTTTTCTTCTTTTCTAAATAACGCTTACTGTTTTCGTTCCATTTTTTTCTTTGTAGTCTCCTTTCTCTTGGCGTCATTTGAGCAACAGATTTTATTTTGTTTTGTTCTTTTCTTCTCAAATATCTCTGTCTTTCTTTTTCCTTCTGAATTGCGTATTTTTCGGCATCGTTTTTAATTTCCTCATACTTTTTTCTTTTATGCAGTCTTGCTTGAGCAGCTTTTTCTTCGCGAGTTTTTTTGTTTTCGTTTTAGCCATACTAGTGCCTGACAAAAATAATATTTGTTAGAAATCACAATAATTATTAAATCTATTAGAAGATAATAGATGCTCACAAACGCAGCCAAAAGATTAATTTTATAACTTGTTAATTAGACTTTTTTAAAACTGACAGACAGCATCTAAATACCTTCTTTAAATATCGAATGCATGTCAACAATGTCAAACTTTTCATTAAGTCTTTCAGTTTTAGATAGTATTTTCGATATTTTTTTTTGTAAAAACGCTGTTAATGACCCAAGACAAAAGGAAACGTTGTGAAAAGACATTTAATATATAAACGAAATTCTTTCTTGAAATGGTATGAGGTATCTAAAAAATGGTCTAAATAAGTAGTTATTAAAATAACAGGTGGCTTTAAGGCCCTGAAATGTCATTAGTTACTTCAATCATCTTTGTAAGTAGGTATTTCAAAAGTGCAATCAATTCTGTATGTCATATTTATAGGACTACAGATAATATCAAATATAATTACCCTCATTTTTAGTTCATTACCGTCACCTTCATAGCTGAAGGAAATTGATGGTAATGAAAGTGAGAGTAATGAATTTTTAAAACTGTTTTTGATCTTTGATCGGTAATTAATAGATTTAAGTACTTAATAATAATAAGAAATATGAATATACAAATAACAAATGCTTCCAGACCAAAACCATAAAAAAACTATAACTACTTACATGAACAATCTGCTGTAGGTAATGAAATCAAAACTGGTTGAAGCACGTACTTGCCGATCTTTTTTAGCAGTAGCGTCAAAATTTACACACGTCCTGTCCCGTTCGTTATTGCTGGCCGACTGGCTGGTAAGTGATCGGCGGGAGGGAGATGCGCCATCCAGGTACGATGCATATACAATATGATTTTTGATATTTCAAACTAGGCTGAAGGTAATGGAATATTTTTTCGGACAAATTGTTTTTATCACAGTGTGTTTAAATATTAACATTATTACAACGTATGCTTCATTGTTTATATTCCTTATTCTATACTTGACGTACTTCAAGCAATAAGAAGCAACAAAAACCTCGATGTATAATTATTAAAAAATGTTTTTCCTAACTCGTCACAAAAAGGACGCTGAAGGTAATGAAATTTAAGCAACTAAAATATTATTTTCAGTTAGTAATTCGACACGATCAACTTTAATTCTATGTGGCAGAAATAGATAAACAACATATTCATAGATTAAAAATATTTTTAGGCTTTTAGAGTGATAAGATTTGCCAAAAAATTCACGGACACGCGATTTGCACGAAATCATAGAAATACCCGTTAACAAGCACATGTCAGAAATTCGGTTCGTAATCCATCATCGGTTAGTAAATCTGCAATTTGTGAATATGATTTAACTAGTTGCTCATTTTAAGTCGTTTAGAATCTGTAGAATGTAAGGAAACGCAAGCGATTATGCCAGATGGAGAGGAGTATGAGATAGAAAATTTGAAACCCATATTACCTATATTTTTAATATCTTTATTTAGCTGCTCGTGTCAGCTATGCTACCACCTGGCGGTGGTTCCAATCTCATATCATCGCGCCTGACGCGACACATGGTACTCATTACTCTCGACTCCTTTGAGGATAACACGCTTAACAAAATTTTTGGCACGATTATGGACTGGCACTTCACCAAAGGATTCCCTGAAGCGCTAATGAGACAGACTAAGGTATAATAAAACAATTACATAGTATTAAACTCTTAGCATAGTCAAATAAGTAGCAAGATTGTGGTGTTATACATCGTGTGTTTTATATCTTAGATAAATCTGCCTGCTCCAGCAGATTTATCTAAGCGAACTTTACAGAAAACTATTCTATATCAGAGTGTTGTCTTGGTCTGCATAAAATATGAAATGGTGGGAGGTTTTAACGTGCTTGATTTTTATATTGCGTTTTATTTAATTATGAAATTAAAAATCCAGTGAAAACATAAAATAACGAGGTGCTCGATACAGCGTTCGAACTGCCATGCGGAATGTTAGCAACGTTCCAAAAGGTTGATCATTAGATAGGTGACACTATAAATTTATTAGTGAGCTCCTCCATGCTTCGGAAGACCATTAGTTCTGGCTATACCTGTAGTCGTTAATACCCTGCATTGGTTATTTCTAGTCTCCCTATATGATTCCATTCACAGAGAAGGCCTGAGTTCCAGCAGTCATTACATTAACAGGCTAATGATGATTTTATAAACATATTAGAGTATTAAATAGAATTCCATATAAAACAGATCTTATTGCATATACGCATAAAGAAAAAATAACAATCAACTGTTCTAAATCACAGGCTATAGTAGGAGCTACTATGGAGGTCTACAAAGCCGTGACTCTACAATTCTTACCGACGCCCAGCAAATGTCATTATCTGTTCAACTTGCGTGACTTTGCGAGAGTCATCAAAGGAATACTTCTGGTGCCTTCTACCCACATGAAAGAAATGAACAAGCTAGTCATATTGTGGATTCACGAGATCTACCGCGTCTTTTATGATCGCCTGGTAGATGATGCTGACAGGCAAGTGCTTAGTTTATAGATAAAATAACGCTTGGAGATATCGCGTTAAAATTACAACCTTGAAGCGTTTTACTTCTAAAAGAAAACCGATTTACTTATGCCGCAAAGTCACCTTATTCGATACGCTTCAATAAAAATTTACAGTGTACCCTTGCTGATTTATAACTATAAAATTTGGCAAGCAATGTAACAAGTGCAAGTAAAAGTCTGAAAACAATTTTGTTATTGCAAATCCTTAAAAATGTAGTTTTATATTTGAAAGGGCTTGATGTTTAATCAATCGCAAATCAGACTATACAAAACTATCAAATTTATCCACTTGATTTTAAGCCTTAATGCATTCTATGTAGTGTTCAAAATCAATTGAGGAAAGAAACATTGTGGCGACCTGACTTTCAGCCGTGTGTACATATTTCTAAATATATATTATTCCAGAATTACTGTCCGATTCGCACATGACCTAATATGTGTTTTCGCAGACAAAAGTTATTCGAAGTGGTATACAAGGCGGTGTACGGGAACTTCCGTGTGCACATGGACCAAGTGTTGACAGAGTTAGGCTATGTGCCCGAAGGGGAGAAATGTGCCAACAAGCACGCTGCTAACATATTTTTTGGTAATTACATGGAACCGGATGCCGACCCCAAGATATACGACCAGGTATGTGGTATATTAAGGAAAACAACTATTTTTATAATAAATAACATCAAATGCGTACCTATCTAAAATTTAAAAATTGCTTCCTAATAAACTAATTTTGAAATTTAAGTATTTTTTTATGTAGGTATATTACGTAGTTATACATCTAGTTATCTTGTGGGTAATGTTAGGTTAATAAAGCGTTATTTCTAGATTTAATACTAGGTACGGTCCGGTATCTCCTGGTTTTCCTTGCTACTTAACGGAGCTTGGATCACGCGAGAGAGTGTCATGGAGGGTTTTGACGGTTAGGCTAATCGCTTCTACCATCTTTAGCGGTTGCAGAGCCCCGGACTAGTCGGCCTCTCATCCAGGTCAATTAAATGTTTAGGCTAATTCCCTAAAAAAAGGTCTGCTAGAAGGTACAACCAATAAAAAATATATAGATGCGATTATAATTACCCCTTGTAATGTCAATTTTATTTACGGGTCTGATTAAACGTAATTCTATTGGATAACTATCTCAATATAAAGTCAATAGCACATTAAACTCACGTTCCTCCGTGGCAGAGTGGTACGCACGCCAGTTTCAACACCGAGATTCCAGGTCCGGATTCTGAGACACTCCATAATACGGGCTTTAGCTACACATCTTGGAATCTGAGCAATGTATGTGATGTTGTCTAAAATTTATTTATTTACGTTATTTAGGTGATGGACCTCGACGACATGGCAGTTAAGATGGAGTACTACCTGGAGGAGTATAATGTGGTGTCTTCGTCGCCGATGTCCCTCGTCATGTTCCGATACGCACTCGACCACATATCGCGGTGCACCAGGGTGCTACTTCAAGATAACGGTACAGATCGATTTTTACTTTTAAGGGCTCACGATGACGTTGTCATTCGTATTCAATTTAATCCTTGTTGTCAACACACGTGTTGTTTTTCGCTCTGCACTACCAAATCAGTATATGACATCACTTTTGAATGTTAAAAATGTAACTATCTAATATTAGTGTAAATAAAAGGCAGAGATTGGGCATCTCTGGTATAGAGGTCAAATCTACATCTACATACATATTGATCATACATTACAGAGAGATTTCTAAGCATTTCAGAAACAAAGAGATATTGTCCTCTCCAAAACTATGCGGATATATATTAAACTAGCTTTTGCCCGCGACTTCGTCCGCGTGGTAAAGTTACTTTGAGCAGCATTTCTAACGAATATTTATTTATTCGTTCTATTAGGTACTGATAGGTTCAACCTAATATATTTACATCCTCCATTATCCCTTATTTTATCCCCATGGGGGTTGAATTTATCAAAATCCTATTTAAGCGGACGTATTCATCATAGTAGCTCCAATCTTTAATTTCAGATCAATCAGTCGAAAAACCAAGAAGATTTATACAAACTTTCATCTCCTATTTTATCTCCTTAGGATTCGAATTTATCAAAATCCTTTCTTAGGGGATGCCTACGTCATAGCTGCTTTATGCATGCAAAGGCTCTCCCGATCGGTTTAAAACTGACAAAGTTTCATACAAACTTTCATCCCCTATTTTATACCCTTGGGGGTAGAAATGATCCAAAATCCTTTCTTAGAGGATGCCTACGTCATAACGACTATCTGTATGCCAAATTTCAGCCCGATCCGTCCAATGGTTTGGGCTGTGCGTTGATAGATCACTATGTCAGTCAGTCACCTTTGAGTTATATATATTTAGATTATTTTTTAATCTGGTTTTTGTAATGCTTAATAAACTTTGACCTTCCCAGGCAATTTACTGTTAGTGGGTGTTGGTGGTAGCGGCAGAAGTAGTGCTGTTAAATTGGCAGCGAGTATTCTAGAAATGAATGTGATTCAGGTATATTCATTAACTAATCTATGTTTCACAATGGTTTTAAGATTGATTTCTTGATTTAAAACCTGAAATGGCAGAACATATGTTTTTCATTAATCCTTTAATATGCACACCGAAGGAAGGGATTTAGCAATAGAATACAACACATTAGAAAAATTACGAATTGAAGATGGCGTTTGAATCAAAATGGCAGATGCTACCATTATAGTTTCTTTTTAATAATAATCAAGACTACCGATACAGTTTCTTTCAAATGAGATAGTATTAATTTTACAAATACTCTTTCTTGCACCCAAAATTTACATTAAAATCAAGTAAATAAATTTGTTACAAGGATGAGCTTATCCAGACAACCTAGAAGTCGTGGGAGAGTAAGATGTAATCGGGTGATAAAAGTGCAGTTAAATGATATTACGGTTGGAAAAAATATTTTTATAATAAATATATATTGTGTAGGTTATTACAGAATTACTTAAGTTGTTTTGTTCAAAGAATAGTGAAAAATTCACTTACAGATAGAAATATCCCGAGTGTATGGTCAAAACGAATGGCGAGACGATATACGCAAGTTGCTCATGAAAGCAGGAATCATTGGCAAACCGCTCGTGTTCCTGTTTGCCGATAACCAGGTAATAGATCGTATTGACCTCCTAAGACCAGGACCAGTTTAAATTTGTAATTTGCGACAATTGTCAGCCTATCTGTACATATTATAAACGAAAGATCATAGATATTAAAATGAATTTCTCAAATAAAATATTATCATATCATATTCCAATATAAGTTTAGCCTTTTTATTATTATAGATAATGTATGAAGGTATGGTGGAAGACATAAATATGCTACTGAATACAGGTGACATTCCTAACCTGTACGGTATGGATGAAAAAGTAGAAATATTAGACAAAATGCAGAGTGCGGTCAGGGAGTCGGTATGTAACGATATAATTCATTTCTTGAGTTAGTTCACGCCGCATACACGTCATCAAATCCATTTTCTGTAATATGTTTCTGTTATGCTAGCTTCTTATTCTTATTTTCATACGCACATCCTCATTAAAAGTAGTTTTATTGAATGTTTCTTTTACCTGTAGGGTTAGCTGTAGCTTTGATTAACCAACGCATGATGATAATGTTATGATAGATGATATTTAAAATAAAAATGCAAAATTATTCACTGACTGGTACAAAATGTCTGAAGGCATTAAAGCAGTTATTTGTTCAATTTATGTGTTAAAAGAAATTTTACAAAAAACATTTAGGGTAAGAAAATCGAGACAACGCCCCTGGCCATGTTCGGGTTTTACGTGGAGCGAGTGAAAGCCAACCTGCGTATTGTGCTGGCCATGTCGCCCATAGGAGACTCCTTCCGCAACCGTCTCCGTATGTTCCCCTCACTCATCAACTGCTGCACCATCGACTGGTGAGATAACATCCTAAAGAAGCTCCTTCGGTTCTTTTATCGTCTCAGATATTAGTTACAATACAAGAATTAAACTCCAATAACTGGACATAATTTTTAATTCTTCTCTTGCTATACGAGATTTACACACCAAGCCATTTTTTTCTAGATACCCACCAAAATTCGTTTAAATTTCGAACTTTCGGGATCACTGTTAATTAGGTCCTTGCAATCTATGTTCTTTTCAAATAAAATAATGACTGATTGAAATCGAAAGGTTGAATTTTAAATTGATTTATATCTGAAACATATCTCCACCATACCATGGCAGTCAGTAAAGTTGCTAAGTGTCTCCTAAATAATAAACCAATTTGTACAGGTTCACAGCATGGCCTCCAGAAGCGTTGGAGCGTGTAGCATCCATGTTCATAGCTAAGATGGAAAATGTAGGTGACGATCTTCGTATTGCTTGCGTCGAAATCTGCCAATTGTTTCACATGACCGTCGTCCAGCTTAGTGATAGGTGCATATCATATAACTATGGTTGATAGATTTGTTATGCTTTATTTTTCGTAAAATTTGATTTATATTAGGGAGGATAAAACTTTAAAACATCCACATGATGTTATGAAGATTACAAATTATTTAAAAAGTATTTATAACATTTTTGAAAGATATCCGATAAAAATAACTTAATCATACGTATCGTTCCAGATTCTATTCAGAACAGAAGCGAAAGGTGTACGTGACACCAACTAGCTACTTGGAGCTTATTAAAGCTTTCCAAAGTCTTTACGCTCTTAAGGTAGATCAAATAACGAAAGCAAGGATCAGGTATGTATATCAATTATGATCGAAGTATTACCAATTATTTAATAGCGTAACTGCTGGTTAAAGATAATAATATTGACTTTAACAGGTATGAGATAGGTCTGGAGCAATTGGACTTCGCGGCTGGACAGGTGGCAGTGATGCAGCAGAACTTACGTGATCTTCAGCCACTGCTCGTGGAGACCTCTGACAAAACAGAAAAACTCATGATCAAGATAGAGCAGGACACTGTTGTGGTTGAGAAACAGAAGGAGGTCCGTCAAAAATGAAAAAAAAAATCGTTTAAAAATCATAGTCTTATACTCGTACATAAGTAAATTGGGTTCATTAATTTAACTAGTATTTACTTGTACTACAACTCGACAGATAATAGTAGAAATATTACAAATAATATTATATCAACAATTTAAGATATTAATAATGCTCTCCGAAAATTAATTAATACACGTAGAAGTATTTGTATACGAGAAGATCCAATTCTAAGACTTTATTAATTAAATTGAAACATACTTTGACGAACAGATAGTTGGTGCTGATGAAGCGTTAGCTAACGAAGCAGCAGCTGCAGCCCAGGCCATCAAAGATGATTGTGAATCTGATTTGGCTGAAGCGGTGCCAGCACTCGAAGCAGCTCTTCAAGCGCTTAATACTCTCAAGCCGGCAGATATCACGCTAGTCAAATCCATGAAAAACCCTCCTGCGGGAGTCAAGTTAGTTATGGAAGCTGTATGTGTCATGAAGGGGATCAAGGGTGACAGAAAAATGGATGCTAATGGTATGCGTTTAAAAATTATACCTACATATTTCAAAATATAACAATTTAAAAAAGTTGTATAAAAATGTGCATATTGCGATTTGTTTATTTTTATAACAAATCATTTTCATATAACTGTTATTATCTAAAATTATATGATTCAGAAACTACTAGATGGTACGTATTTGAAAATTAAAGGTAAACCATTCGAGGACTACTGGGGACCTTCGCAGAAAATGCTCGGAGACATGAAATTCCTGGAAAGCTTGAAGAACTACGACAAAGACAATATTCCTACAGCCACCATGAAGAAAATTAGGGACAAGTAAGATTTGGCCAAATTAAAATAAACTTGAATATTATTGGAGTAAATAAATCTCATTATCAGTATTTTTCTTTAATAAGGATAAGTAGGTATGTTGTATTTCATTTCTCAAAGTCCCAATGAGACTGATTCATGCTTTTTTAATTAATTGTAACTAGATATATCCCCGACCGAGAGTTTGACCCTGTAGTCATCGCAAAGGTGTCTTCGGCTTGTGAGGGTTTGTGCCGCTGGGTACGAGCCATGGACGTTTACGATAGAGTCATCAAGGTAAATCTAAAGATTTTTTTTAAGGAAATCACGAAATAAAGTATATACTTACGTATTGTTTTTTTTCGACATCGACATCGCTTTAGTAACAAATTAATATTATTCATAAATACAGTATAATATAAATTGTACAGAAATATAATATTTTAGTTCAGCAAAACTGCAAGTACACTAAATAAGAAATGAATGTGATTATGCCTTGTGGCACTCTTTCGTCTCAAATCCACTTTTTAGATTACCACGTACCAGAAGCAGGCTAGGTTCTCATGCTCCCTTAACCAGGTTAATGAAATTCCATGCATTTTTGGGCCTGAATCTGGATATTTTTTGTACTTCTGTAATTAAACTTAAAAGTTATTTTAATGAGCAATTAACAGTTCTTTGAAGGTTACCAAGACAACACTTCCCTATAAACATTCATGTACCGGTGTTAACGCTCTCAAATTCTCTTGTTATGTCTCGGTTTATAGTTTTTTCTTTTATGTATATATATATATTAAAAACTAAAAATATATATGTTGTACTGTTCATATTTAATTTAAGTTTCAGTGCATGTTGTATCTGCCTATAATTGATAAGGCGCTTATAATTATAATTTGTAACTTAATTTAAGAGTTTGTAATAGTGTACTTATTGTTGGCTGTCCTAATAAATAAAAAAAAATAAAAAAATTACTCTGCAGGAAGGATTCCTTGTATTTATTCCAGATGAATAAATACATGGTGAATCGTGAATTAATACGTATATAGCAACTGCAAAATTAATTTTTTTTAGCAAATTACTCAATATGATTTACTTGTTCGTAGGTGGTAGCTCCGAAAAAGGCAGCTCTTGCAGAGGCCGAGGGAGAACTGCAGATGCAAATGAATACGCTTAATGAAAAAAGAGCGCAGTTACAGAGCGTTTTGGATAAACTACAGGTTGGTCATTTTTATGAGACTTTCAACATAAAGGTAGACAGAAGGTAGATAGAAGCAGTAACATCATATTTTCATATGAGTAAAATAGTTCCATTTTCATCAATAAATATCACAGAAGCATTATAAAAAAAAAAATAAGATTTTCTTCTTTGTTTTTAGAAAACTTAATAGATTGCATAACTTAACATACACTGGTTATATAATGTTTGTTAGGCCCTGAATGATGAATTTGCCGAGATGACAAGAAAGAAGAAAGGACTGGAAGATGAAATTGATCTTTGCTCCACGAAGTTATCTCGTGCTGAACAACTGATTGGTGGGTTAGGTGGTGAGAAAGCCCGGTGGACTGACTTAGCTTACCAATTACAAGAACTCCTTGGGAATATCATAGGTCAGTTATTATATTAAGGGTACAATACACATGAGACATGTTTCTTATGCAATGTTTTTGAAGCGTAGGTTTGTTGATGGGGGTGGGTTTAGAAGCACCCACCAGGCTTCAAGTAAAAAGGAACAAAACTAAAAAACTTGTTTTAACAAACTTTATTTTTTTTAAATTTCAGTCTTGTCCTTGTGGCTTCTATTGGGAGGACTTATCTTTAAAGTTGAAAAAGAGATTTAATGTCGAGTTCGTGGGGTCAAAGTGTCACGGGCCGGGTAGCGGCTGGCATGGGTGTAGGTAGACCCGACGTCAGCTCCGGTCAGCAGTACTGGAGAACCACCGAGTCTCGACACGTAGGACGCAAAATAGCACACACTTAAAAATATTTACACACTCAAAAATGAAGTATTGCCGTGCGAGTGTTCGTTTATATACTAATTTAACGTAAGAAGTCGCACTGCGCTCCAATGCCTGTCTATCTCCATACAATAACCGTTATCAGTGTACCTACAATTACGATATTTTTAATTATTCTTTTTCTTTAAATATTTAAATTGGCGTTTATTTATATCAAAACGTAAAAAGGAATTAAACTCATCAGCTAAACATGTGAGGGAGAAACAGATTATTTAGTAAACTGTTACATTTTTTGAAGAGTTTTCTCTTCAGACAGCGAAGGTAATCCGATTAGTTTTCTTTACTAGTCTATTCTATCTGGCATATTTGGCAGTTCAACTGCGATGGGTATTTCTGTCCACTGTATATTGATGAGTATTTGAAAACAATTTCATTGAAGCCTGGTGAAATATATTAATGAGTTGTTGGTGACTGTTTACTAACAATTATAGTATTACAAGTGGTAAAATTAAAATTATCGTCTATATTTTCTTATAATATGTTTTAATTAAACGTAAATAATATTTTTAATGTTAATTAATATTTTTCCTGATAAATATTTCAGGTGATGTCCTTCTATCTGCCGGCTTTATAGCATATCTTGGGCCGTATACTGTCAATTATAGAAGAGAGATTATATCTGTTTGGAACGCACGCACATCAGAATTGAGTAAGCTTTTATCTCGTAACTATAATAGTAATATCGAATTTTATAATTACGAGAACAGAATTTTTGAAATTTTTCAACTGGAACAAATAAAGCAAAAGTAAATTATGAACCAAAAACAGAGCTTAGTTTACACATTTAACTTTGATCTGATCTGATTTTTCTTATTTAAGTCATATTAAATAGAGAACCTATAATAAGTACACTGAAATATAAAACGTGCATCTATTTGTTTCATGATATGAAGACATACCGTGTTCGGAGGTATTCTCATTGATAGTAACACTAGGCGAGCCGGTTGTGATTAGAGCTTGGAACATAGCCGGGTTGCCGGTGGACGCTTTTTCTATAGAGAACGGAATCATAGTTGAAAAATCTAGACGTTGGCCGCTGATGATCGATCCACAAGGTAATCTGATGTTTAATAAATAATAATTAAAAATCTTTTTAAAGAATCAATCCACTTATTCCGAAACATGGCCTAATTCAATAAGTATTATAAGAATCAATACTTATTGAATTAGGCCATGCTTCGGAAGAAGACTGTTTTCGAAAGCTAAAAAGTAACACAAAGTATATTTTTTAATTAGGATTTAATGACATGTATATACTTTGAATCAATTTAAAAAGTTAGAATTAGTTAAGTTTCGTTTTTCCTACCATAAAACATATTCTCGTTTGGTTTGTGGCTCGCAGACTTTTAAAAACACAACCTTATTTTGCTGTGTAGGTAAGATAAATAGATTCAGTCAAACAAATATTATGAATAAGAAATCATTTTTAATGGAAATAAATCATCAATAATAAATAGATCACGTTATTGTTTTAGTATTTGATAATATTAATTAAAAATTGAGTTTCATAATCAGAGCAAGCAAACAAATGGGTTAAGAACATGGAGCGAGAGAACCAATTGAAGGTGATAAAGTTGACAGACTCGAACTACGTGCGTGTGCTGGAGAACGCTATCCAGTTGGGTTACCCTGTCATATTAGAGAATATCCGTGAACAGCTGGATGCAGTTCTCGAGCCAGTTTTGCTGAGAAATGTATTTAGGTAACTAGCATATTTCTATTTAAGGTGACCCTCATTAATTACTTTCAATTGAATATTGGCAAAAAATAAATCAACTAGTTTTAATGCGGTACTAGCAGTGGTACTGTGTCAAAGTGTTTTGTTTTGTTTTCTATAATATCAATATTATTAGGTAGTTTTAATAATAATAGTTTGATGGGGCAATGGTGTGGATGTTAAGCAACTTTTGTAAAGGCAGGTCATGAATTGTCACATTTATTGATAGGTCGGGAGGTATCGACTGCTTAAAGTTAGGCGATAACATACTGGAGTATAACCACAGTTTCCGGTTCTATATAACGACGAGGCTAAGCAACCCACACTATCTGCCAGAAGTTGCGGTCAAGGTAAGAGGATTTTTTGATTTTTGGTCCTATATGACAGGGTAGGTATGATAAAAACATTTCTCTTAAAAATATGGCGATTACAGGTGACGATGTTGAACTTCATGATAACTCCTCAAGGGCTTCAGGACCAGTTGCTCGGTATCGTGGTGGCACAGGATCGGCCCGAGCTCGAACTCAAGAAGAACCAGCTCATAGTAGAAGGAGCGAACAACAAACGCACTCTCAAAGAGATCGAGGATAAAATTCTAGAGGTTTACCAAATAATCGATCATTTTCTTGCATAGTGTGATGTCATTAGATTTCAACTGATCTTACTATACCATTTTCATGTTTTTAATATAAAATATTCGATGAAATTGCAATTATATTTAAATCTATAACTTTATAGTAAGTTAAGATGCTGAGATTGGAACTTCACGTCCGATATCCTTAGCTGCATAAGCTAAATGTAATTTTATGTGAGACCATAATATTCTTCATATTTACCTCTAAGGTTCTCCTGGGCAGGTATTATCATCAGCGGGCAACATCCTAGAGGACGAATCGGCGAACCAAATTCTGTCGTCATCAAAAGTTTTATCGATAGAAATCGAAGCGAAACAGGCGGCTGCAGCGATCACCGAGAAGGAGATAGACGAGGCTCGATTGCTGTACGTGCCTGTCTCCAAGCACAGCTCTGTGCTATTCTTCTGTATTTCCGACTTGGCCAGCATCGACCCTATGTATCAGTATTCGCTGAACTGGTAATAACAATAGGATCAAGATATATTCTTATATGTGAATGATAACTCAGTATTATTTAAATACCTATTTAACTGACTAATATGATTTTTCTGGCAGGTTCATAAATCTTTACAATCAAGCGATCATAAACTCTCCTAAAAGTGATAACTTGGACGAACGACTGGAGAGCTTAAATGCCTATTTCACCAAGAGTATCTATGAAAACGTATGTCGAAGTCTCTTCGAGAAAGACAAACTGATATTCTCCTTGGTGTTGACGCTCGGTATACTCAGGGCTAAGGTTAGTCATGAATATTTCCCAATTATGATTTATAATCTTCTTATTCGATAATTTACTGAAGCGCATTTTCTCTTCTCGCATGTGGGATGCAGGAGTTTGCTGTATCCCATACAATAATGCATTCCGAGACTCTATAGAATATAATGACTTTGCTATTAATTTTTAATTTTCAGTAGGCGTTATTTCAGTA